TGTACAAATGTGTAATGCATAATATAATCATGTTTTTTTGAAGAATGAATGTAATATGTCATAGGTATTGGCACTAAATTACAACTTTATGTTAATAATAACTTCAATTTCACAAAATTGTGCTAAAACCGTGAGGTTTACAAAAAAAGTGTTGATATCATTTCTGTGTAGTTTTTTACGCTCTACATTTTATGTCTTTACATAAATATCTCTAAAACTAACCGTTTTCGAGTATTTATCGAAAAACCAGTTTTGGCCGCCATTTTTCCAATATGGCGGCGTTTGCCCAAGACTGAGTCAGAATCAGTCAAAAAACCTTTGTCCACCCAAATTTCCAGGTCATCGTTAATTACAATGGGTCGACGCCCAGACTATAATAGGATCAAAAATCGGTCTCTGGACATTTGCTCTAGTACAAATTGGAAGTCAAAATATCTGGAATTATTCTAGTAATCGTTGAACCTATTGATCCTTAAACGGTCCCCATGTGTATCATTAGCCTAATGCAGGGACGTATTTAAGATTCTGCCGCCTCTAGGCAACAAAGCCCTCTAGGGGGAGTCGCCGCTCCCCCCCCTCCCGACCTCACTAATATCACCCTAATGGCCAATAGACCTACATGCCCTGTCAGCTGATTTTGTAGAAAAGAAAAATAATCGGTAATATTGCATGCTGCATTAACAAATTTAATAACTTTTTTGACCCCTTTTCAACGGGCGATTTTTGCGTCGTTTTTATGCAAAACATTCTGTCTTGGATAGACAAGGAATGCCACTTTTTTTATCTAATCAATATTGTTACAATCCAATTTTGCGGCGTAAAACGGCACACAACATCGTCTGTATACAATGGTTCTTATAACGCTTTTCATTGATCACTTTTAGTCAGATCCACTTGAGAGACGTGCTATTGGCTTTGATTTGAAATGAAAGAAATATGTTTACTTATACAATATTTTTATTTACAAAAAACACATGAATCGAAAAGAAAAATTACGTACTTTTACTGAAAGAATAATATACAATTTTAAATTAGTTAAGCTTGGTACAGTAGTAAGTAGTTTGTTCACACTTTCCTTCTTGATTGTTAACCTAGCAAAAGAATCAATAACAGAAGTCAAGTCCAGGGAGTTCAGCAGTTCTCCTTCAATATTTAAGACTGCTAGAGAACAAAGTCTTTCTTATAAAGATCTGTTTCTTAAATAATTCTTTACTCTTTTAAGGCAAGAAAACAATCTTTCAGCTGAACAGTTTAAAATAGCTGTGCTTGCATGGATCCGTAATGCTATCTCTACATTTTGAAACACTGACTGTAGATCTTTGTCTCTAATTTCCTTTAAAAGTCTTAGCGGAATGACTTTTTGAGGGGTTTTTGTTTCATCTGGACATTTGACCTCAAGTTCAAGTTCAATGTCAGTTTTGCTTCTAATCTTTGCTGGGGGTTTCAACTCTTTTACAAGTTTTGACTTGACACTTTCAATATAAGATTTAAAGTGTACAAATTCATCAGAGAAGTTATCTTCAATATCTGAACAGTATAAGTGGTGAAATCGATCCCCAGCCTCTCTTAGCTCACACTAAGATAGTATGAGCTGGGTCCATATTACATATGCCAGTTAAGCACTTGGTTCTTTTCAAATCGGCCTGGTAGCTGTTCATCTTAGAGAGTTCTTTAGCCTTTCTTTCAAAAAGTTCAAACTCATTTTGTGTCTTTGTAATAAGATCAACGAGAGATTCATAGAGGCATACAACAGTTTTTAAATCTGTTTCGACTGCTTCTAATTGTGCTGTGCTGATTGTAATTTCTTATTCGTTGCATTCAACCGATGGAGTATGAATCCCTAGGATTGTACGAGGGTCATCTCAAAAGTAAGTTACACCTGTTACACCTATTTCCAAAATAAATAAAAAAGCCAAATTTGATTTGAAAAGGGTATATTTTAAAAGATACATACATAGACTATTTTTCTACGTAGTCGTCATCTTTTTCAAGGCATTTTTGATAACGTAGCAACAGTTTTTTTAGTCCAGCATCATACCACTCTGCCGCCATTTTGGTTAGCCATTGTTCCACCTCCCGTTTCAGTTCGTCTTCGTTTTCAAAGCCCTTCCCGCCTAAATGCCGCTTCAACTCCGGGAAGAGATGAAAATCACTCGGCGCCAAGTCAGGAGAGTAAGGTGGATGGCCGAAAACATCCCATCGGAAGGATTCCAGAAGGTCTTGTGTTTGACGGGCGGTGTGTAGGCGAGCATTGTCGTGAAAGAAAAACACTGTTTTGGTCAACTTTCCCCTCCTTTTGTTCTGTATCCCCCTTCTCAGCTTACGTAGCACTTCCCAATAACGTTCAGCTGTAATTGTTTCCCCCCTTGGCAGGTAATCAATCAACAATACTCCCTTAGAGTCCCAAAAGATCGTTGCCATGACCTTGCCAGCTGATTTGACGACTTTTGCCTTTTTTGGAGTAGGCTCGTCCTTTCCCTTCCACACCATGCTCTGCCGCTTGCTTTCGGGGGTCCAAATGTGCACCCAAGTCTTGTCCCCGGTTACTATCCTGTTGAATAGGCCATCTCCCTCATCATCAAAAAATTGTTGGAACTGGAGAGCAGCATCAACCCTCTGCTCCTTATGCCTTTCTGAAAGAAGGCGTGGCACCCATCTTGCACAGACTTTTGACAAACTGAGATCGTCCGAAATGGACATTTGGAGGAAGCTGTGTAATGATTTCATCCAATGTCAAGCGCCGGTCGGTTTCAATGACCTTGCGGACATCTTCAACAACAGTCAAAGCGCGGGAAGTGGACGGGCGGCAACTTCGTTGTTCATCGTGTAACGATTTTCGTCCATCAATAAACGATTGACGCCAGCGGGAAACCATTGGCCTAGACATCACATTTTCACATAAACACTGCACAATTCTCGATGAATTTCACCTGCATTTTTATTCTTTGCAGTCAAAAATCTAATTACTGCACGGATTTCACAATCGGCGGTGGGAACAAGTGGTGTCTCCATGATGGCCGGAGCGATACTGGAGGGGCGAGTGCCATAGGCGGCCGCGACGTTTACAGTGTTGCCACTACATCCAGACGAAAATTCCCCGCGACTCCCAGCTTTCTAGCGCTCGACGCTGTGATTTAAAACAATTGTGTAACTTACTTTTGAGACGACCCTCGTACTAGAACTGCTGTCTCCAGGGTATTAATTTTCTTAAATAGACCGTTGGCCTCTGCACGGGTCAGTGGTTTTTGTGAAATATCTTCACCGATTGTTCTAAGGGCACTTCTTAAGATTTTATCCCAATGTTCCAGAAGTCCTTGGCAAGCTGTAGCCGGGGGGGATTGATTAAATTAAAGTGATGGGGTTGTTAAGTTAATGGTATGATATGGTGTGAGATATTGGTGGGAATTCGGGGAATCAGGAGGGAATAAACAGGGTAATGCTAATAGGTTAGGAATAGCTGTGTCTGGACCAAACTTATTTTTAGCGTGCTGAATCTGCTACAAATAAAATTAGGAAGTTTGCTGGGGACCAGAGGGACCTTTTACCCAGATCAGAACACCTGCCTAGCCAGCTTTGATTTACACTAATTTAACTAACTATCTAACTGTAGACCTGTCCTTCCAACTAGGAACTGAACATGGATAATTACTTACTAATATTGATGAGTGAATGATATAATATGTAAATTGAATACTGAATGTGAAATACGTATGAATTTGATAGATAACTATTAAGTTACATTCTGGGATCATGTGATTAAGTTTTCACACCCTTGGCTGCAGAAGGCAACCAACCCGCCTATGTTGTAATTTCCTTCATTTCAATAGTCGGGTGAGCCAGAAGGGCTCCCCGCTTTTTTCCTGACTTAGCCCAACATAATTACTAATTAATTCCTACATGAATATAATTAGAATAACTTATCCATTGCATCGGTAGAGAAGGTCACAATTTGCTGTTCCTATTGTCAGGGCGGTTGATGAAGAAGGAGGACAAGAGTGTAGGGAGGTGGGGAGAGAGCGTTAATGCAGTCGCGGCAGGCAACGAGTTGGTCATGCAGCCCGGCTTCGCAAAATGCACACACTATATAAACTAGCGTGTCGCTATGCGTCACAAAGCATCATCTCTTGCGGACCATCTTATGGTACTCAGACCTTTGACTTTTGAAGAGTCTTTTTGTGACTGTGCTTCTGCTTCTTGGTTGGTTGTCTTTGACATTTGTAGAACTTCCCATCACCATGTGGAATTGTGAATAAAGTATACAACTCCTGTAGAAGCAAAAAGAATGCAGAGCTTTCAAGACAACAATCTGCCGCATTAGTGCCAACCAGATTTAGAGCTATTCTAAGCTGATTCTAAGCTGTAGGGGAGTGAAAGTCTTGTGTTGTTAGGGTGGCAGCTCTCAAAGTGTCGGTGGTTATTAGCTTTTGTGTGTGCTGTTGTTGTGATGATTCCGTTAACATTTTCCACAGACACACCTAGAAAATTAACCAACCAGATTAATTAATTAGCTGTGGTTGTATCAGAAGTTTCCCATTTATTAAAATAGACAATATATCCTTTGTGAAGAAAGGGTTTGATTAGATCAAGTAACACTGTACACCGATTCACTTGCCACTACGTCCTTCATTTTATCAGATTCAACACATGTTTCGAAAACACAAGAATAATTTTCAGATAATGACTCAAAAAACCTTGTAAATTTCCACTCCAAATCGAGCTCTTTTCTTAGGACTAAGCTGTATTATACTTAAACGTGCTAGCATTTTATCATCTAAAGCTAATTATTTATCCATTTTATACATACAAAGAAATTTAGTCTTCAAATATCAGATTATAGGTCTTATCTTTAGGTTACAATTGCTTAGGTTTACAATATTCATGAAATATTACAGTATACATGAAATTAGTTGCTGCTTGGTCTTCTTTTCATGGTTTTAAACACATAAGATACCTTTAAATCTAAAATAAAATATTCTATAAAAACAATATAGGCTACATACATGTGAAAACCTCTCTGAAGGTTGGTTTAAGTCATCAGCATCATCAACAGGAATAGAATAGATCTGCACTGTCCCATCAGACCGTCCTACAAGCAAGTCTGGCACTCCGTCACCCGTCATGTCATAACAGTAGAGGCACTGAACACCTCCACGATGCTTGCCTGGCTCTATACGCCACTTGGCTGACACCCCTGCCCTGTAAACAACAAATCTATAAAACACAAACACAGTAGCCTATAAATAATATAAAAAACCACTACCACACCAAATCTCCAGAATTAGAGGGTTTCCATTTGCCTGATTGGATTTTCACTTAAATATATCCTTAAAAATGGAATTTTTATTCCCTACTTGAAAAGCATTAGTTTAACTAGTACTTAGGCTTGCTGCTACATGGAATTTAATAGAGTGTGTTTTTAGTAACATGTCAATAGACAATAGACAATAGACAAAAGACAATAGACAATTTTCTTTATTTGTGATTTCTTTAAGAAATACAATGGCGTCAGAAAAATTCAGAATGTTTAACATTTAGATTGTTTTAACAGTTTACAATTTCTTTTGTGTTGAAAGTTCATAATTGGTCAAAAAATTCCTTAAGGGAGTACACCGGTCGGTCCACAAGCCAGTCCCAGAGTTGTTGTTTGAATTGGTTTCCTGTTGCGTTCTTGAGGTTGTTTGGAAGAGAGTTGATGATTTTTCGGCCAATATAAGAGGGTTTTCTGCTGTATTGTGTAGTGTGATGGATCGGAAGGTTGTAGTCGGCCGCTTTTCTGGTGTGGTAGGAGTGAAAATTCTCATTTCTGGGAAGGTTAAGTTTTTTTGTGTACAGGACAACTCCATGGATGTAGAGTGCTGTCACTGTTAGGAGCTTAAGGGATTTAAATGCTTCCCTGCAGCTGTCTAAGCGCTCAAGGCCGGAGAGTGCCCTGACAGCTTTTTTCTGGAGTACCAACACTTTGTTGAGGTTTGCTTCTGATGTTCCTCCCCAAGATATTAAGCAATACCTTATATGCGATTCTATTACAGCATAGTATGCTGTCTTAGCTGTTTCCAGACCTCCTATCCATTTCATCCTCTTTATTACATGGACACCAGATGCAAGTTTTTTGGTCAGGTTGTGTATGTGGTCGTTCCAGGAGAGGTCTTCATCAATTGTCAGGCCCAGCAGTTTTGAGTTTTTTTCAACGGTTATTTCAGGAATTTCTTGGATTTGTTCATGTTTTCGGCTGAAATTTAACTGGGTTGTTTTTGATGGATTAATGGCCAGGTCATTTTGAAGGCAGTACTGCAGTGCTTTGTCTGTTGAGGATAAGATGTTGGAGTGTAATTCTTGTGGTAAGTCATGCATAAATAGAAGAGTTGTGTCATCAGCGTACATTATTGTTTCACAATTGTCATTCCTAATAAAATCTGGAAAATCATTGGTGAAAAGGATGAACAAAAATGGGCCCATGACTGAGCCCTGGGGCACTCCCCTGTTAATCGAAAGTTGTGTGGACCTATGTACAGATTTTCTCCCATTTGTGTTTTGCCGGATTTCGACAATTTGTGTACGTCTTTTCAAATAGCTTGCCACCCAGTCTTTGGCCATTCCCTCTATTCCTAGGGCTGTGAGTTTCCTTAGGATGAGATTATGGCCCAGGCAGTCAAAAGCTTTGCTGTAGTCAAGTAAGACTGTTGATACATATCTGCGTGCTTCTAGATGGTCAATGATTTGTTCGATTAAACTAGTTAGAGCTGTGGTGGTGGACCTCCCTTTGAGAAAACCATGTTGGTTTTTAGTGATGAGATCATTGCTTTCCAAGTGACTCAGCATTCTTGACAGAGCGACCTTTTCTATTACTTTTGAAAAGGTTGATATTAATGAGATAGGGCGGTAGTTTTCTTGTTTAGTGCGTGAGCCTTTTTTGTGCTTTGGGTATATTTTGTCTATTTTTAGGGCGGAGGGAAATTGTCCAAGGCTAAAAGATTTGTTTATTATGCTGACAAGTGGGGCTGCCAGTTGTTCGGCACAGTGTTTTACAACTTTTGATGGCACTTCATCTACTCCACATGACAGCTTTGATTTCAGTGAGGCTATTGTTGCTAAGACTTCTTTAATGGTTGTAGGAGTTAAAATTAGTGGCTGGACATTGCTTTGTGGTAGAAATAGTGGATGTGTAATTTTTTTGTTTTTGAATTGGCTTCTGTTTTTCTCTAAAGTGGAGTCTGCTATTTCTGCAAAATATTGGTTTAGCAATGTCAGTAGGGTTATCTAATATTTTTCCCTCTATTTCCAGCTGCAGATTTGGTTCTTCCTTCTGTTTACATTGTTTTTCTTTGTTGATGATCTCCCAGACAGCTTTGGATTTATTATCAGCACTTGTGATGTATTCTGCAGTGGCTTGTCGCTTGAGGGACCTGAGCTTTAAATCATATGTTTTCTTTTTTTCCGACATTGTTGTTTTATCATTTACATTCCGGTAAGCTCGTATTGGTGTAAGGCATCTAGAAAATCTTCTTTTAGTATTTTGACTTCTTCATCATACTGAACCTTAATTTTCTGTCCTTTCTGCTTAGCTCTTATTTTTTTGATAGGGCAGGCATGGTCCAGTATGAGCCTTACAGTCCTTTGGAATGCAGAGTATGCCTCTTCAGCATCAGGGGCATTGTGCACCTTTATCCAATTTTCTTTGGAGAGTTCGTCTTTCATGCTATCCAGGTTTTTTCTTGAAAAAAATATTTTTTGTGACATATCCGTTTTAGCAGTAACTTCACTCTGTATTTTGAGGGTACATGTTTGGCCTGTGTGATCTGCTATTCCAGCGTTAATTATAGCGAAATCTATAGCATTATCATGTGTATTTGTACAGATACAGTCTATAGAGGTTCTTGAATGGTTAGTGATTCTTGTCGCTGGGAGTGGTAGTCTTCTAACTCCAAAAGTTGACAGTTCCTCTTCAAGATAGTTACTACTGGCATTTTCAGTTAGCCTGTCTATATTGATATCGCCCATTAATACAACGGTCTTGGTGTCAGCTTGAAGTGACTCCAGAACTTCTGATAGGATGTCAATGGCTAACCTAGCTTGTCCCCCTGGTGGTCTATACATGCCAAGTAAGTAGAAGTTTTTGTTCTTTATCCTTATTTTCACTAATGCTGCTTCAAAAACTAACTCTAAACTTTGGTTGGAGATTTTTATTTCTTCTGCCTTGATAGCAGCAGTTTCCTGGATATAGATTGCAACTCCTCCCATTCTATGCTCTTCCCTGCAGGAATATGTGACTAGGTTGTACCCACTAATCTTAGTGAGTAATAACATATCTGAGCTGAGTCCATGTTCAGTAATCACCAAGATAGTGGGTTTGAGTTCACTCATTAGATGATTTATTCTTTCAATCTTTTTCCTAAGACCTTGAACATTTTGGTGAAAAATTGTGATGGAGGTTGTTTTATTTTGTGTAATAACTAAATGTCCCTGATTATCTCTTCTTTGTGCTTTGGGGTTTGTGTTTTGGTTGTTGTCATTCAGGGGGGAAGTTGATTCTATGTTTTGTCGTCTGTTTGTTTCTTCACACCTAAAAAATGGTTTAGGGTCTGATTTGAGTCTTTCAGTATTGATTGGTTATGTTGTTTACATTGTGGTAGCTTATGGTGTGAGATCCCATTTATGTACTCTATGTGTTGGTTTAAAAAGTCTTCAAGTGATTCATTTGGTTGTAGTTTTTTAGCGGTACAGGGAGGTCCTTTTTGTACTTTAAATGTCTGTCTGTTAGCAGGAAGTTTATCAATGATGGGAGATTCTTGTTGTGCACATTGAGTGGACTTAGGGCAAGGAGTAGACTTTAGACTGCTCTGGAGAGTATTTAATTTCGATTTTGTATTGTTTATGTTTATGTCCTTTTCTTTACTTTTTTTCATCTGGAGTGACCAACGATCTAAATAACTACTGGATTGCGCTCTCAGTGGCGTAGCGGGCGCTGTTTTCGGTCTCGCTTCCCCCACCCTCTACTGGCAAGATAGCGGCGGCGTACCTCACGTGCATGCTACTGTCGCCCATTTCAGCACTTGTTTGATGTAAACAACAGCGTCCGGTTGTTTAAAACTGTGATTACAATTTATAAATATCTTTAATTGTACGCTAAGTATGTGTTTAAAATGGTTGTGTCGTGTTCTGCTTACAACTGCACCAACAGAGTACAGAAAGGCAGTGGCATTTCGTTTCACAAGTAAGTACCTAATCTAATAGCTTATAAACAAGGTGTATGAATAATCTATTCCTTAACTCGTTACAGCATGTTAACCTAATTGAAATATGTTTTGTTTTTATTTTGTTGATAGCGTTAAACTGAAATTGTAAATTGTAAATCAAAATCATGCACAATGAAATAAATGCGTCTTGGCTTATTTTTTTAGAGGTTAGTCAAAACTATGGGTTATGGTGGTAGATCGGGTTGATATTTATTAGGTATAATGTACTATTCACATCCTGTGATATCAGTCCCTACTCCTTTGTGTTAATACTGGTTAGTGTTTGGCGTATAAATCAGTCAAACTAGTCAACCCAGTTCAAGTTGGCTAACGTGACTTAGTCATAGTTGTATCAAATATTTATTATTGCTATAAATGCTTATATCAAATCGTAAACAAATAATCACTTCAAGACAGTTAAAAATGAAGCTTTTATTACTACTGTATTCGGAACGTCGTGATACCCATAAAATGTAAGTAGTTTTTTAATGTTACACGAACGTAGGAAACAATATAATTTTTTTACTATGTCGTTATTTTGTATGCAATACGCGATTACAATTACAGCTGTTTTACAGACAGGGTACGCAGGTTTACAGTTTTTTTTTTCTTTTTGCTTTAGATTTCCACATCAAAATCCTGACCTATTAAAGAAATGGGTTTTGTCAATGAAGAGAGAGAACTTCACTCCTTCAAAGTACAGCAGGCTGTGTAGTAAGCATTTCACACCAGAAAGCTACCAACTACGGCCCCATGCTAGCTACCCCCTGCTTAAAGAGGATGCTGTACCTACAGTATTTGATTTTCCTCCTCATCTGAAGAAATCTTCCCCCAAAAAAAGAAGAATCATTCTTAAACCTGGAATTGCACAGCAAGACATACCAGGCACTTCAGCGGACACATCCTTCAGTTTTCCTTGTTCAATAATTGGACAGCAAGAAAGTGTAAAAAAAACAAGTGTTGCTTCGTTTAACATTTAACATTTGATGGTATGAGTATAAGGAAGCAGGTAATTTATGATCACAAGAAAGGTAAAAATATAGGATACGTCGATTTAGGTGGTGTTAAAACTGATAATCACGAGCAGCTAGCAACGGAAGCCTTGGTATTTCAAATAGTTTCACTAAGTGTTCGTTTTAAATGTGTTGTCGGGTATTTTTTTATTAACAAACTTTCATCTGTGACTCTGTCACAACTAGTAAAAATGTGCATATACAAACTGAAAGAGGTTGGTGTTTCTGTGCAAAACGTCACCTTTGATGGGGCCTCTGCTAATATAAGTGCTTTAGTTAAGTTAGGTTGTAGGTTTCCCGATAAACCATATTTTAAACTAAATGGAATCGACCATAACATATCTGTGATGCTAGACCCTCCACATATGTTAAAATTAAGCCGTAACACTTTAGCTGATATGAGGTGCATTGAATCTGAATTTGGTGTCATTAACTATTCCTATATTGAAAAATTGAACGAATTGCAAAACAATCAGGGATTAAAATTAGCGAACAAGCTCTCAGATAAACACGTATTCTATAGAAACCGTAAAATGAACGTGAGATTAGCAGCTCAGACTTTAAGCAGTAGTGTGGCACAAGCCTTGGAATTTTTACATTTTAAGGGTGATCCAAATTTTGCTGATTGTATGGCAACTGTAAAATACATCAAAACAATTGATAGGTTATTTGACTATTTGAATAGTAGGGACCCATTTGGCAAGGGATTTAAAGGTCCCGTAAAACTTGATAACGTAGAGAGGGATGAGAGTATGTTAAAAGAATCAGAAAAGTACTTATCTAGCCTTAAAATTAACGGTATAAATATTCTTGATCATCCAAGGAAAACATTTGCACTTGGGTTTTTAAGTGATATCAAAGCTGTAAGACTGTTAAGAGATTCTTTGTTAAGCACAAACACTTTAAAGTACTTGCTAACGTACAAATGTTCACAAGACCATTTAGAACTATTTTTTTCATGTATTCGAAGTAGATGTGGTAACAACAACAATCCTAATGTGCAACAATTTACCTGGTCGGTTAGAAAATTAATGTTCCGAAACAGTGTTAGACCATCTGGTCAAGGTAATTGTTTGGATCTTGATCCAGATGTTCACCATTTTGCCTTCTCATTGTCCGATTCAAGTAGTGAGATGAGATTTGACAGTGACAATGAGGAAGACAATGACGATGAAGTCATTGCTATGGCTCTTTTATTTGACAGCAAAGAACGATCATATTATAAGGACAATGTCTTGTATTACATTAGTGGCTTTATTGTAAGGAAACTTGTACCTAAGATCAAATGTCAAAACTGTATTGCTGTGCTCCTTTCTGAAACAGATAATTTGAGTTATTATACTCAACTGACAGACTGCATAACTAAAGGTAAACTCATTAGGGCACACGAAGATGTTTTTAAGATAGTTAAGTACATTTACAATGTATTAACTTGCCAGATTCAAAATACAGGAAACGTTAACACACAAAGACTATTTGTAGCCGCGTGTTCCCATTTTGTGGGCACTATTTTTAAGGGGCACGTCGAGAACAGTTCTTTTGGGGAAGACACCCATGAATTACAACTAATTAAGTTTATTTGTGACCTTTTTTGTAAAACATATTGCCACCACACAGCTAAAAAAAAAAGTATCGCGTTTACGCCTAACATAGGTCTGCGACAGAAACTCACAAAAATTATTTTATTCAAAAATGTTTAATGTTGTTGTGTTCATTAATAAATCGAGTGTGAAATGACAAATTTCGTACTTAATATCCTTTCTTCGCAATTACTTATTATTTTAACATGTATAGTTTTGAACTAGTCATGTCAGTAGTGTGAAAAAACATCTACAATCAAGTTTAGTTAATGTGTAGTTTTAATGAGTTCAAATGGGTTATTCTATGCAAGAAACAAGACATACATTAAGTTTTTAATTGTAAAACGAGTTTGACATGCATTAGCAATTTTTCATCTTTACATGTTTAAACAGAGCAGCATCTAAAAAGGTGTGTTTTATACGGTGAGTGTATGGGCTGCGCCGGCTTCTGCCAGTAGGGAGTGGGGGAACGTCGGACCGCGCGGCTAACACTGAGCCAGCGATCCATGAGTTGTTTATATCGTTGGGAGTGACACACTAAAAATATTCCTATTCATTACCCTTAGCTGTTTCCTTATTCTTCCGTTTGCATTGGTTTTCGGGCTTTCACAAGACGGTGTGGGTTGTGTATCACTGGGGAAGTTTGTATTCTTGGCATTCTCTTGCTGAAATATTTTACTTTTAATTGCTGTTAAAGTGTTTTCTGTTTCTTCTTGCCAGGTCTTCAGCTTCGCTAGCTCAAGTAGCAGGGACAATGAGCTGTTTTGTGTTGGGAGCTCAGAGCTGTGGGTTTGAGATTCGGAGTTTTTGAATGTTAAAGTGTTTTTTTCTTGATGATTTCCAGAAACATTATATTTTGTTGGGTTCTTAATAGTTTGTTGTAGGTTCTTTATTTCTTTTTCTAGATTACAAATTACTTGATCTTTGTCCTTGTCTTGATCTACAAACATTGTTGTTAGTTCAGCTCTGAGTTGTCTCTCTTTGTTTAGCTGTTGCTCAGCTTCATTTAAGGTTTCTGTTATCGATGTTATTTGATTTAATAAAGATTCCTTCTCATGTTCTAGTTCCTCGATTTTTGCTTCATAACTCATTTCAAGAGAATTATTTTTGTTGAAAATCTGATGGGTTAGTTTAGTATTTTCTATAGTCAAATCATGTAGGTCTTGTTTTAACTTATTGTTTTCTGTAAGTAGGACATTACCAACTTCGGCAGCTAAAGTTAGGGATGTCTCTAAGTCTTCCTGTTCTTGAGCTTGAAATTGTTTTATTTTTGCTTGAAGGTCTTCTGAGCTGGTTTTGACTTGACATTCAGAGGTTGTTTCAATCTTTTGATCGATTAAGGGGGTTGTGCATGTAGGCAGAAAAGGGATTGAGTCCCTTTGAAGTTTACATTCTTTGCAGCTCCATGATTTGTAACCAGCTTTAATGATTTTTCTGAAATCACTTGTTGACATTCCAGTACATTTAGAATGGAACCACTTTCTGCAAGGACCTGTGCAAACTATTGCTGAGTACTTGACTCCAAGGTCACATGCACCACATGGAGTCTTAGACATGGTTTGGTTTTTCTGGACAGCGCCTAAAAATTGGGCAGTTTTTTTAGGCAAGCTTTGGCTGGCTGCTTCTGTTGAAAATTGAGAAAATTTCGTGATAAAAAATTGGACAGTTTTTTAGGCAAGCTTTGGCTGGTTGCTTCTGTTGAAAATTGAAAATATTGTGTGATAAAAAATGGGGCAGTTTTTTAGGCAAGCTTTGGCTGGTTGCTTCTGTTGAAAATTAAAAATAGTTAAGTAAACAATTAAAAATTGCCAAATATGTCATCAAAATACAACAGATTCCTTATTTTCCATAAGAATTACATAGGAATGCTAAATTCACAGTTTTTTAAACTTTTCTCCATAGCTATTTAGCGTACAACAACGCAGTCAATGTTTCAAATATTAATTTTTTTTAATCTCTACAAAATGGTTTAGAAGGAAATTGCAAAAGATTATTTTTTCCTTAAAACCTCCCTTAAACCCCCGTTCCCATAGTCCAATCATGCTGGTTTGTGAATTCCTCTGAATAAAACTAGATTGCAACTCCAAAACCCTATTTGAACTGCAGGTTGCCTCACTTGGTAATCTGCACCAAGCCAATGGAGCCGTCGTCTGTACCATACAAGAGTTGGTCCCCGGTGCTGCTGCCATCATTGTTGTACAGGTGCAGCACAGTTGGTACACCTGCCAGAGGGAAGCTGTGTACTAGAGTAGAGTGATCCAGCACTCTGAGCATTCTGTCCTCACAAGCCAACACCGGGGTCAAGCGGTGGAGCTGCAACAAAATCACAATCAAAACCTTTTATTTCATCCAAACGAGAGGCATACTGCTCCTAGTCGTTGTGGACGTAGTTTTACAACAATTCAACATATAGCAGCACTAAACAATACTGCTAGCCGGCCCTCAGTATTGTCAAATGGAGGGAAAAAGCAGGGGTGATGAACCTACCATTTTTTGATACACCATAAAAAAATACCGCAAAAAAGCGGTCAAGCACAAATACGAGGTTAGGTTCCTCTAGCGGTGAGGAGATTGCTTGTCATGCACAATGAACGTGTTAAGAATATTTACTGTGCATAAAAGGTATGATTTTTTTTTTTAGAGATAAAATTTCCAAAATAAAGAAAAAGCTGAGTGAAATATTTTTTAAACTTACCTTCTCAGCCGAAAGTGCAATGACATCGTTGATATGATCAGCTGAGAGGTAAGAGTCTGCATCCTTACAGTCTCTATAGTGGTTGTAGATCTGGCTGCCACACACCATCAGGTCACTGGCACTCACTGCCCTGCAATCACAATATCAGCTATCTTTATACATGAATTGATCATACTGTGAAGTAAATACAATAAGAATAACAGCAAGTAGATGAAGCTGTGAAATAGTTCTACCAAACAATTTCTCTTCCAAAAAATACCATAAACAACATTTTGGAAAAAAATGCAATAATTAAAGTTAATATAACTATTAATATAACAAAGTGATAATAATAAAATATTACAAAAACCTAAGTGTCATATAGTTTTATAGTATTTTACCTAACCCGCCATGTTAAACTTCCCTATCCCAAGCGTGATGTATACAACTTCCTCACTTCACGAGTGATGTAAAGTTGAAAAAAACTCACTCGGTGGGGTAATGAAACCCATTTAAATAACATTGAGTGGATAACTTAAAAAATATAACTCTATGGAGCCAACGACGTTCAACGCTAGAAATCAGCTGTGTGCTTGAATTTTATTGTTATGCTTTGAAGAATTTTCCTAACCTAGCTTTTGTTTGTAAATGAACGCTACTGTTAGAAGATGAGTGAAATGGATAATGAAGCATTTTGCTCGTAACCTCCTATATATTGTCGGGTCAGGTAAAATCTTGTACGTTACACGCTACGCAAGAGCGTGTTTACATCACTTCAGTGAATTATGCAACGAGCGAAAGCGAGTTGCACAACATTCACCTGCGTGATGTAAAAACGCTCTTACTACACTTGTAATCTAAATAGCTATTAGTTTCTTGTTCATAGATTTGAGTATCATATGGTGAAAATATTACAAAACTATCTTTGCCTGGTTTACTTATTTAAATTTTTTATAACATAAAAAACAAAAACCTTTGAAAAAAGCATTCCAGGCTTGGGTTTTTTTGGTATTTTTGAATCTTGTTTTATGTGCATGACATTGCCGATTATCCGTGAATATGTCAAAATCATGTTTAACTACTGATGCCAATTGTAAATAGTAAGAGCTATACAAGGTTAAGATATTAAACGGAATAAATAAATCTTCACAATGTTCTGTGGGAGACTCTGGTCATTAATCATACAGCTCTCTTTTGAGGAATACAATTTTTTGGCCAGGTTTGACGAGCCTCCTACAGTAATTCCATGATTCATGTCAATGAAAAATATGTCTCATACTGATATTACAGTTTCTAGATTAGTAGTATCCGGAACTATCATAAGAACAAATGTTTGCTAAGCGTAGCCTTCTTGGCAGGCTTTTAATGTGTTTTTCCAATTTAGTTGTGAATCAATAATGATTCCAAAACAATTGATTGACTATTGTAAATTAATTATTGAAGAGTTATTTGCCTCCGGGTTACGTTTGAATATTTATAATGGTTTAAGTACCAGCATTCAGTAATCCAAATTGTTGTTTGTCGCAACTTTAGTTTTGGTTCTGCTAAGAAACCATCTTCAGGCCATACAAGGTGTCGTTCAGGTTATTTACCTACAGTATATGAAGGTCGTCATTGATGATCAAAGGAAATAATACACATACAAACACGCACATTGATGTTGTCAGTTCGAACTACAACTTCGGCTCAGTTGCGTCTTACCTGTCTTGTGTCCTTGAGTAGTCAGTTGTTTTCATGTTTAAAGTTTGACTATCAATGTGCGTTTCATGTGTATATTATCATCAATGACGACCTTCTAAATAAATAATTAATGTTTGACTCAAAATTTCATTAAGTATACAGATTTAACAACCAATCAATATTACTATTATCATTAATGTGTACAATAAATTACTCTTACTACAGTAACAATCAAAACTTACATCGATTGAATGGTCTCTGTTAGATTTGTCTCAAATCCTAGGAATAATTTGCCTTTTTTTGTGTAGCCACGAACCTCATTTTTTGAGGAAACAAAGATTTTATCTTGAGGAGTTCCTGCAAAATGTTGTTATTTGATCAGTGTGGCTATTGCATTACCAATTAAATTAAACCATGCACTCTCAATTTCACAAACTGTACTCTGACAAACGTTAATCTATATATTAATTTGAAACTGTTTTTCTTTGTGACAGCTATTTTGAGAGAACAGCTGGGCGTAGAAACTCGGTAGAGGTGTCTAAAGAAAGGTCCTGGTCTGTAGATGAGCCATCAAAAGAGAAATATGGAGAATTCCCTCGGGGCTCTGCCCCAGTGGCCTTTAAATTCCCATCCCATGTTATTCTTATGGATGAAAACGAGGTTTTTGTCACAGCCAATTTGAGAGAACGGCTGGGCGTAGAAACTTGGTAGGGGTGTCTAAAGAAAGGTATTGGTCTGTAGGTGAGCCCTCAAAATAGAAACGAGGTAAATTTCCTTGGGGCTCTGAGGTAAGTTCACTCTGCAATTTTGTTTACATTTCGACCATATGGATAATTTTACACTACTTTTAATGAACCAGCTGTTAATATTAAAATTGTATCTGAAGGTCAACTGAAACTGTCAAAATTAAATGTTTACATTATTATTCATGACTTTAAATGGATTCTCCACCGCATGGCAAGTTTTTTATAGTTTCAACAAAATGATGAATTTATGATACGTTTTAAATGTTTTGTTCAAAAATCTATGCTTTATTGCTCTTAGAAAATTTTAAATTATGAAATAAGTGTGACATATCAATTTCAAAGGAACATATAACTATTCCTTATCGGGTTAGCTTATATATATTGTACGGTTGGCACTTGCCTTTTTTCCTACTTTCAATCACCATTTATTTTTAAATTCAAGAAAGAACACCTGAGATTCATTTATTGGTATAAAAGTTTTTGATAATCGGGTTGAAAATTGTGTCATAGATGAGTACGTTGAGGATGAGAGCTGTGTTCAAGTTTTGGAATAGACTAACTACGGAGTCTATGGTTTTGGTAAAGTAGGTGAACTAATGTCAATTCAGGTATTAAAAAAAAATGTGTACACAGTTTTTACTTTGATGTACACATGTAGCTAGGTCGAACAACGCATCTAAACCTCACTACATACAAAACATTCGGACACACAACAGTGTCATCACATCTCATCGCATTTGCATAGTTTGTTACCAAGGCTGGACTAGGTTATGGATTTGGTTCCGCAAATGTTCAAGATTTGTGATAAAATTTCCTACAATTATGGTTCATTCCAATCCACGAAATACATGTAGAGCTTTATGTGATCTACACATAATGTATATGGCCAAGACAAAACTACCCCACAAGTTAATGAATTATCAAGTAAGAACAGGATGATTAAATACATGGGTCGATGTGGCAAGAGAAGGAATTAAAATTGCTGACATCGAAGTAAGAATGTTACTGCTTTCTGGAGAATCAAATATTTTTACCAAACAAAAAAAACTGATTTAATATGCTGATAGAATTCTGTATTTTTATGACCAAAGATGAATATTACTTATAAATACGGATAGGTACAATCTGAATGATTTTCATAAAGCAGAAGGAATTAGTGGTTAGTAATAAATATTGACTCTTTCCGTAACATGATAGACTAATTATATGAACTCATTCTCCCATATAGTGAAAGAGGCTTTGGTTTGAAACAAACTCATGAACAAACAATTATAAGACTCCTAAAAAACCTTTTGGGCAACCTAAAGCCGATAAAAAGGTAGGAAATATTGCGTTAAACGAATTCATCAATCACGTTTCTTAGGGAACACAATCGTCATACTTATTATTGCTTATCTTCCCTTCATTTAACTAAGATTTAATGACTTCACTCTATCCATCGCAGTTAGCTGTTTTTTTACATAAAGCCCCAAGATTAACCGTCGATTTCGACGGGGTTCCACTAGTAAGCATTTAAAACAAAATGGTCTAACTGTTCATTCCAATGGCCAGCATCTTGAATCAATCTCAATTGGTCCTATGTATGACTGTCTAGTGTGTCAGTGCATCTATCATGAGAAAACTAAAATATTATTGATTGGAATCAATGAATCTTTCCTTTTTAGCAAATTTCTCATACAGGGAATAAGCTATTACCATGAATCTCATGGTCAGACTTGGACCCGGGACCGATTTACTTTTTCATTTTGATGTCCCCCAGAGGTCTGTTCAAATTTCATATATACAGTAGACTCTCGCTTATCTGGACTAATGTGACGGATGTCCAGTCAAGATTACAAAAAATCCGGACTATCAAGAGTCGAGCAAACATTCGTAAACTTTACTGTTTCGGCAAGCGGTTTCAGCAAAACACGCACTAATACAAACGGGAAATGAAATGAAATATTCCTTTACTAGTGTCCCTGTTGCTCGAATTCGAGCAATTGATAAGTACTTTTTTGTATCTGTTGAATATTGCAACCCAACTCATCTAGTCTGGATTAGTGATGGACCATCATATGTTTTTACATTGTACATATGAAGTTGTTTACAAAATATAATTCAGAGTTGTGTTGTGTTTGTAAGAAAATAAAAGAGTTTATAACAAATCTTCTTTCATTAACTTTAATTTCACCAACAGTATCACAGGCGTTATTATAAAACAAATTTCAACCAAGTCAGCAAATATATTTAGCAAACTTATTCACTGTTTACAATATGTTCTTCTTTTCACTTTTTATTTCTGACAACAGCTGGAGTTTCATAACAATTTTTGTTTCCAATGTTAATCTTATGGAGAAATGCGAAACTTTATAAAGGGCTCTAGGGCCTCATTCTCTCATTATATCCCTAAAAAGAAAGTTTCCTGCACAGCTTCACATTATGCTCTTTTCAATGACACCAAAAACATGACAATTGGTTCAGTAGTTTCGGAGGAGTAATTGTCACAAAAAATCTGCTTGTGTATTAAATAAGTATAATATATAATAATAATATAGATTGTCACAGATACATTTCAAGCGTTTTCAGCAATGCTGGTGAAACAGGTGACATAGTCCATCACCTTAAACGGGAGTGCTTAAACAAGTTAAAACTCATCGTAATAAATTACAGTCAGCTACTGTACTGTATTTTACACTAGCACTACTGTACTGTATTGATAATAATGTAGCCTATTGCAGGAACTGTAAAAAATAAAGCAATTTACTATACTGTAAATATAAATTATTTACAGTACAGTACAGCAATGAATAAACATGACAGGAGTAAAATAACTAAGTTCACGAGATGAACATACAATTTTTTTATTGCAACAACAAAATATACTGTACAGTACTAAACTTAGTACAATACAGTACTGTATAAGAAATTTATTTAAAATAAAGTAAAGGCCAAAAAAAAAAACTTGAGTTACATACTTTCAGGAAGTTCCAATTGGTAAATTTAAACGTTACAAACTGAACGTAAATAACAAATATAGTAACTTTAGACAGTTATTACTCTATAAGTTAAATAAAATATAAAATCTGTACTGTAACGTATTCTAAAACTGACGCAACTTACAGTTTAGTACGACTAATTTTTGGAACAAATCTTTGATCGTGGCCTGCTTTACCGTCTTGGCTCGTGTTTTGCCGCCATGTCTCTCAGCTTATGTAAGCACATTATTTCAGCAGCAGACACGCCTTCTAGATGAATGATGTACTCCACGGCTCCGTCCAGCATCTTGGACCCTTCGAAGTGTGGAATGGAAGGCTTGGGTTCCGATAGTTCCTCTTCGTACTCCGCTTCATCGTCATTTGACACCATTCTTAAGTCGTCGTATGTAATTTCATCTTCTTTGTCACTTTTCATTCACTCCAATACATCACTTTCGTTCACTTCGTCACATACTAGTATTTTCTCCAACAGTGAGACATTTTCTGTTTTGTTCTCATCATGTTTAAATTTCTTCACCGTCGATCTCTTTGAATTTGTTACTCTCGTGGTCCAACATAGTCTTCCTCGATGAAACGATCGTCATGGGCGGGATTTCTTCCCATCCTTCAGCCACCCACCTAATTACATCTAAGACGTCAATTTTCTTCAATGAAGTGATGTAATCTTCATCAATGTCTATTTCCGATATGGGAAAGAAGTTGGTGGCAGTATTTTAACTTTAGTGCCTGAAGTACCACTTGGCCCATAGGCTGACAAAGGGCAGTGACATTTGGCGGCAAAAAAAAAAACAGCTTTAACGTCCTCGTCCTTTAACTCATTAGCAATGGGTTGCGTCAACACATTATCCAACAACAGAATCACTTTTCTTGGCAAGTTGTTAGCTGCTAGATATTTTTCAACACTTGGAACAAATTCAGTAAAAACCAAGTACCTTAAAAATGGCCGAATTCATCCAAGCCTTTTGCTGATTAGTGTACCATAATGGCAACACTTTTTCTTTCATTAAATTCTTGAATATGCTCTAGGTTTCTTTGATTTTCCGATTAAAGTTAACCTGAGCTTGCCAGTAACATTGCAGCAAGGTAACACCGTAACCCTTTCCTAGGGTTTTTTTTACCCTGGTGCAGTGGCTTCTTTTTTTGAGGCAAGCGTTTTAGTGGGTAACATTTTATAATTTAAGCCTGTTTCATCCCAGTTGTACAGCTGATCGCTGGCAATTCCTTCTTCAAGCTAGATCTTAGCTAGATTCTTCAAGCAATTGTCGATGGGGATTGTGAAGGAAAGTCTTAAATTCTGGGACAGCGTCTTTGTTCCCTGATAAAGCTTCTCCACTAACTGACAGTTGCCGAACCCCATATAGCTTTTTCCAGCGATCTAACTCATTTTACTGGCAGCGAATTTTATCATCCCCCTCAATTTCATGTTAGAAAACTTAGCTTTCTCTTGGAGCATGGGACCATTAACAGGAACACCTTTACCAAGTGTCAGTACCACAAAAATAACGCGTCTTCAACTTCGTTAAGTTTACCTGCACGCATTGTTTTCCTCACCTTACTTGCGCTTTTACTAATTTGAGAGGTGCACCATTTTTCTATTTGTTCCTGATTTTTCCTCCAGTCCGAAACGGTACTT